GTTGCTAAAGCACATTGTATCAGCGCTCTGCAGAGACTCCACAGAGCCTCCCTCTGAACGCCAGACCCCTTTGGAGCGCCTCAAAACGCCAAGGGACGTCGCTCACAGCCTCCACGGCTCCCCCACGGCCTAGCTCCGGCTCGGGGAGCCCAACGCGTGTAAAAAAATCGTGTATATACTTGGAGGGTCGCTCGCGCGACGTGGTGCATGTTAATAGTGACCCCTTCGCTCACATACAGAAAACTTCCCACTCCCACGCACCTCCCAGGCACATGCACACTGTGCGCTTCAACATTGCCATGGCGGCAACCCCATCCCTAAAGATATTCGATATGAATGCGTCAGCAATATTGGGTGCAACGAATTCGCCGCTGGGCTGGGCATACATCAGGCACCGATGCCTCATGTGTGCCCAGCCATGCAGCGAATTCGTTGCACCCAATGTTGCTGACGAATCATTACTGAATGTGATATCTGAATTTCATATATCCTGCTGGCGCTCGGAGAGCTTGATCGTGTCACAGTGACAGTGGCCGCTGGTTCCCGCGCGGCCCACATCCGAGGTCCCAGAGCAAAGTCCAGCGGCGGCACACATGCGCCACAGCATCTCCACGGGAACGGCCACCAATCGTCAAACCGGACTCGGCGGCTCTTTCTCGCACGTCAATCACCTCCACTAGCAGAAAACCGCATGTTTGCGATGCCATTTTGACACAAAGCCACGCCGTCACAGTGATTGCGACGGCATAAAAGTGGCTGCGATTGCGTCAATTTGTGTCAAATGGCGTCGCAATTGGCATCGCAAACACGCCGCCTTCAACTGGTGCTCAATGTCCCTATCCGTCCGTGAGTGAACCAGTCAATCCGGCGGCGGCGGGAAGCACGTGAGACAGAAATAAACGAACGCGGCAGGGGCCTCAGCCGGCGAACACGCCCCGCAGCTGCGTCCATAAGACCCAACATGTCGAACATAGACTGATTCGATTCAATCAACTTGACGTTGTCAAACGAGGGCTGAAAGCTTTGCAAAGTAAGCTTGAGCGCTCTGTGCGCCGCGGCACGTTCTCAGCAACGCTTTACACGGGAGTTTCGAATGCTCAAGGGGCGGCACCGTTGGGGCTAGAGTTGGTGCTTTCAGGCTTCTCGCGGCGATGCTCACACATACCTTGGCCGGCCATGTTGCAATCTGCGATGGCAAGCCATTATATTTCAAATATAAATTGCAAGTGCTCATAATAACGTGGCAGTCAAATCTTGCAACGGGCTTCAATGGTCAAAATCCTGGCAGCAGCCTTTCGGGCACGATGTTGGACATTGGTCCTGGTATTGGGCACAAAGCCAGTACTGGCACTAGTGCATTGTTATAATTCTGAGCGACAGCATTTGAAATTCTGTATCTTGTACCCATTTCGCGAGCAAGCGTTTTGCGTGGGTAAGCTGTGCGTATTGCACATTGCACCTTCGCAAGTGCTGTAGTTTACACAGCGCACATTGACGCTCTAACTCGTCCCCAGTGGAAGAGAAATGATGGGAACTACGGCGCGAACATCAGCCTGTGATCACAGATTCCAGTAGAGTGGCTAATCTCGTAATAGGCAACGGAAGATCTTGGATAATTGAATGCCAATACTGATATATAATCTAGTCCTTGTGTCGCATGTGATTATCTGCAAGAATACCCCTACCTATGCATTCCTCTGCAGGGTTCTGTTCCCTTCCATTGGTTTTTGATAGAGATGCATCGCCAGTTGATCCGGTACCGGGTGAGCTGCTGTGCTCTATTCAACAAGGAACAGCCGATTACTACCCAATAGTGTGGCGCAATACAATACCGTAGTTTTTAAGCCCTTCCGCATCGGAAAATTTTAGCGTTACGTGTTTTGCTCAGCATTTTACTTTTCAGAGCGTTGCTTTTATTTTTGTACGTTGCTCCGCGGAAATTTTAATAAAATAGCGTTATCTGTTTTCTCTGCAGAAAAAGGCCAAGCGTTACGTTGCTATGCGGAAGGGTTTGAAAACCTACGGTAGTGTTGCTCTTACCGCATAGTACGCCAGGAAAACGAATTGGTTGTTGCTCTGTTTTTGCGGAAATTCATCACGAAGATTCCTGGTTGCTGAAACGAATGGACAGGAAAGAATCCCTCAATCGCCCAGAGCGCGCGATCGCGCCACCACAGCGACATCGGAAAATCGGCGATCGCTTCCGCGTGGCGGAGTCCATTGGCCAGTACATGAGACATTTGTAAGGATGCAACCACGTTAGCTGCGTGCTGGATCCTTGAAAGCGACGCAATCAACCTAAGCCAACGCCAGCCTCATTGGGAGAGACGGGCGTTGAATTCATTACACATTTCTGACTTTGTGCCAGAGCAGGACACATTTAAACCCCTTGGACAAATCACCAGACACTCGCGAGGGCCACAACGCGACCACCTGCTTGCCAAGACCCAAACTACCCCAACAACCTCGCACCCAAGATCGACCCCCATCTCCTATACGCAGCGCCAATGGTGTACCATGGCGATCGAATCGCATCGCGATGTCCATGAGCCCATGGGGCGGGCCCGTCCCCCCGCACTGTCCCATCGCCTCGCATGCACTTTCGCGGATCCCGGCCCTTGGCCGTCCGTCAGCACCGGCACCGCGGATGTGGGCCCCCCGGCTTGGCCGCTGCGGCGCCAAGCGACCCAGGGGGCAAACACACACAGGGAGAGCCCCCGCGGGGGGCATATACGCACTGGCGCCCCTTATGAACACACCTTAGTTAAGCGGCTGTGTCTTCCCACTCCTGAGCCGGGGGGGGAGGAGGGGCTTTGATGAGCCGGAGCCGCGGGAGTTGGGCAGCGGGCACTACTCGCGCGGCGATATGCGTTTTGGCGGTGGCTGTGCTGTCGGGAGGGACTGAGGCGGAGCCGGCAGGTGAGGTTTGGCCGTGTGCGAGAGCGGTCGCACACACTGTGGGCTGCTTTTGAGCTTCGGCGCGTTTGTCGAAACCTGCATCCAGCCACATCTCGAGATGGGAAAGCAGTGGCTCGAGGGGCGGGGTTCGGGCACCAGCTCCGGTCGAATCTGCTCGGGCGGCGCGGAGGCTGTACCGCGCAGGCTTGTGCGGAACTGGGGCCTTGGGCCAAGGGCTGTGGAGCGCCGATACGATGGAGGAAATCTGCGACCGTGCCGCGCTCTTGCTGTGCGCGTGTCGCGGGGCGTGCTGTTCCGACCGCGCCTGCTGTCGTTGCTGTCTGCCGACGCTCGAGAGTCGCGAATTGCGGCCCTGCATGCCGTCCCGGTTGCACTGCGACTGAGGAATTGCGACCTGGGATGCGGCACTAGCACGCGCGCCAGGTCCTGTACCGTCTCGTCGCAGTGTTCGGTTCTGCCACAGTTCCGGGGATCCCTTGCGGAGCATGGCTGCAGAGTGCGCTGACACCTGACGCGCGACTTCTGTATCTTGAGGGATTGTTCTCCTGGTAGAAAACGAGTGACCTGTTTCATTTTTCTGATTGATGTTCGATCTGATACTGAATTGTGCTGCTTGTGCTGGCAGTGACGAGTGGCTTCCCTTTGATCGCAAATAATAAGCGGGCTCTGCTGCAGAAGAGAGGAGCCGGAACAAACGCACCTGAACGGGTGGGCTGCAATGAAAAGGCGCCTGCTCAGCGCTTTCCAAACTGGAGCAGTGACACATTTGCTAAATATCGTATTTGGCTCCTTTGGCGTCATTTGGCTTTCACATACGATATATTCACCTCACAGCTGCCCAGACACAGAGCATGCAATCACGAGCAGCGCGCTTGCGAATGTTGCTCATTCATCAAACCAATTCAGTTACGTAACTGGAGCTACAGTATACTGTAGCTGGACAGGTGAACATGGGGATTCAGCATGATGCGGGATCATGTTCGCCGCACCTTGAAACGTTTCAGCTGTTCAGTCAATCCTGCGCGATGGTCGCGGCATGCCTGATTCAAATGTGGACTTTAGGGCTGCGCGATGCCCAGTCGTCACAAGTCTGACTGCCTCAATCTTGAACTCCAATTTAAGAACCAAAGGTTGCCATATCATGAAGAGAGCAGTAACAATTACCCCCTTTGTCTTGTGGATGATGAAAAATTCCCACATCCAGTGATTGTACTTCTAGTACAAGGCCTCCCAAGTCTTTTCGTTTGATATACCTAAAATAATGCGGTTTTCCTTCATTGGTTCCTGATTGAGCAGTAAGCCTTCGTCATGAACTGATTCTGCAACACTGTGCCATGATCAGTAAGAAAATCCAATGACATGAAACAAACAGTGGTTCCGAAAAGTGTGGATGATGACTTCCGATGGCGCATGTAATCTGACGTAGAACAATAGTTCAATGTTGTATTGAAACATTCCAGTGGCCATTGCAGCTTATCCAGCTTATTCCAAAGACTTGCATCAGGATGCGTGTGCATCCTTTGAAAGGTAATGCATCCATGCTTCAGGTTTGAACATGCACGCTTCAGCGCTCGGCGCAAACTTCCTGGTGAAGAGTTGCGCCGGCAGATAAATTACTATTGCACAATTTGGCTGCGATTGCGAAAGGCGGAAGTTTGGTGACATTTTATTTTGGAAATTTAAATGGAAATTGACAAGCCGAAATTCAGAAATACAGAAAGGGAATCACGCTGCGCTGGAGATCCAAACTGCCGGCATGTTTGCAACACACTCATGCACGTGCCGCCTATAGGCTATGAACAACGCGATTCCTACGTTATCACCGACCGTAGCTGCGGTCGGTAGCAATATAGGAATCGCATTGTTCATAGCTTCAATCCTTGCGATATTGAATTTAACCCTATATTCTGAAAGGGAGAGAAATGTAGCACTTTGAGGCAAAGAAAGTACTACCAAAACAACATTGCCTGAAGTACATACTCTTGAGAATTTCGCCCTGAGCATGTTAAGCGCACTCACGGCTTTTGTGACATGTTGTTATGTATCGCCCACAGCACGATGTGGGAGGGGTTGCTCCCATCATGCAAGCCGCCATAAACGGCTCCCTTGCCGACCTAAGGGCAGAGCTGCGGAATGGCGCAGACATCAGCGCTTCGGACAAGTTCGGCAGGACGGCGCTCTGGCACGCATCCTCCAACGGCCACTCCATGGCAGTGAAGCTTCTCCTGGAATTCGAGGCGGGAACTGAAGCGGCGGATGTGCACGGCAACACACCGCTTCTGCAAGCCGCTTTGAGAGGACAGGTGAAGATGCTTGTGGTGGTTGCTCTTGGTTGTGTGCACTCGCAAAGTTTGAGTCTAGTTGCGTCGGAAAACGTGAATATTTTGGACATTTTGGCCCATCGCTTCCAGAAATTGTGCCAATTTTTGACGCAAAATCCCTGTGCAATAAAAGTCCTCCACGCAAGAGGCCAAGGAGATCAGTGCTTGGTACCAAGAAATGATCTGAGCAAAGTTCCGAAATGATGCGCAGCCTTCCTGGTGCAGTGTGCAGGCCTTTGCTCTGTCCATCGCAATGAGTTGAAAAACAGCTTGACGTGTGACGCATTCTGTTGGGCTGGTGGGTGATTGTAGGACGAGACTTGCCAGATCGTGTGGCTGGAGTGCAAATTGTGCAAATGGGGCTGCTTTCGCATGAACATTTGAGATATCATTATCGGCACATACTAGACATTGAGAAAAATAGCAAGCGAATTTTCTGGTGATTCTCTCTGAATTGTTTGTGAGATGTGTACCAGAATGCGTGATGCCAACTTTATGTGGATTTTACAGAAGCATTGGAACATTTGTAAACATCTAGTATCCATTTTGACACACATGCTGTCTGAGAAACTGAGACTCAGATGCAACCAGCCAGCTTCAGCACACCATGACAGCGATTCCACATCAGCGCAGAACTGTGCTTCAGGTGGCATCTGCGGTAGTGCTGCTGGAGGGAGGGGCGGCGGTGAACGCCACGAATGATCAGGGCATGTCCCCTCTGCTCATAGCCGCACAGCACGGGAACAGGGAAATGGTGAAATTGCTGATTGATGCCGGAGCGGACACGAGCGTGGCAAAGCGTAGGAGCGGGCAGACCGCCCTGTGGTCGGCGGCCTTCCTAGGACATGAGGAGATTGTAGAGTATCTGATAAAGGTGCGGCATTGGAAAACACTTGGCAAGTTGGGCACTGTAGTTTCAAGTCTTTTATATGCTGAATTGCGGAAAGTCGAAGTATGAGTAGTGTGGCCAAGGTGGAAACACCCAACAACGGAACCTAACGCGAAAAACGAGCCAGATTGCGTAACATTTCTGTGCCAATGCCCATCGGGGTGAAGGTAACGTTGTCGGAACACCTTTGGAACTAAGTTCGACAAGGTGGGAAATCAGGATTAAGTCTTTCTGAAGGGTGTTCGAGGATGGCTGATGTTTCTGCGATAAGATTGGCAGCGCCGACAGACACAATGTGGTGTTGCGGGGAACAAACGCAGGGGTGTCTCCGGGCCGTTGGCCTCCTGGGCCCCTGTGTGTTTGCTGATCTAACAACATGGGGCTTGAGTGTCCTTTTCACGAGCAACATGAGGCCCTTGTTAACCGTTAACACAAGGAGACCGCCTGAGTACTGTAGACACACGTGTGTGCCAACGTGTCGTCGTTCGTTGCCTGCAAGGGTTCGATCCCTTTTCTCTTCTTCTCTTGGCTCCTTTTTCGTTTCCGGTTTCCTTCATCTTTTCAATTCAGTTATCTTTGTTGCAGTTGTTGCTGTATATGCCACCTTGCCTTGCGTGCAATATTCATCAAAATGGACCGAACTTTGTTCACCATGCGCATTGCTGGCAATTGCAGTATAAATCGAGGCTAGCGATGCACTGAGAACTGACCTCCTGATTGAAATTTCTGTTGGAGGGGGCGCAGAGCTTCAAGCTCGCACAATGCAACCACCTACACATCCAAACTCCTCGTTGACATAGGATGACTTGCCTAAACTGGCGATTTATATTAGAAATCAGCACATTAGATATTTGGCAGCAGAGAATCGTTTATCATCAGCAATAGAGCCACATGTATATCACCAGATCGTGTCATCCGAACAGCTTCCCTCTAAAGTTGCTTAACGGGTAGTGTCGCAATTGTGCCATCAGAAAGAGGCAATGTTGTTACTGTCCGTTTTCCGCAGGCAGGAGCGGACGTGGACGCTCCAGAGAAGGACATGGCGACTGCCCTCTACGCCGCGACACAGGAGGGGCAGGTGGGATCCATTCCTCATAAACAATGTGTTGGGCTACTCGATAGTAATGAACTGTCAGACGATTAGTGCACATCCATGCCAAGTTGGATGCGTAAAAATGTCCACATCGATACCCTTGCATCTATTGGACAAATTGTGTTTTCCGGAAATTCGAATTCAAATTCGTGTAGTCAAAATTCACACAATTCAAATTTACGGAAATATTCCCATATTTATAAATGAACGTTGGATGCCTCAGAAACGCCCAAAGCACTGGATTCGCCGATTTCCAATTGTCCGTTTGCAGATAGGCACATTTTTAGGCAGGGTTAATCTCCTAGAATTTTGTGCTCGTACGGCGCCAGGCTTTGTCGGCGGACCAAACCTCGTATTCTCGTCCGAGTTGATGGCGCTGTGTCCATCTTTGTGCAGTAACCAATGACCCTGTTCCATGGATTGGGCAGTCGCGGGCAAAGGTGCATATTATCCGTTCAGTGCTGCAGCGGGTGAGGGTCGAGGGGTGGCCATCCCTGAACGGGAATTATACGCTCGAGTCCACGGCAACGGTTTACAGCCGAGGCAAAAGGACAACAGACGTTCTGTCCTTTATACTCAGTCCGTTCATTAACATCCTTAATGCAATTCCTAGTGCTTCGTCATCTTTTCATGCATTCAGTCATTAATAACACTCAATCAGTTCTAGCCGTAACAACACCACTGCCGGTGCTGCAACATGTTCATGTGTTATTGACAGAGAAATCGTGATGAGTATTCTGGCATAACGTACCGAGCGTTGATCTATTCGGTGTCACAACTATTTGTATTTAGTACGATAATTCATGAATCCAATGTTTTTGTCTATTGGTCCATTTGAAATGGTCACTCTTGTTTAGAAAAGCGCTACTGCTGCCACGACAGGCGCGCGTCGCGGCTATTCTGTTGAGCAAGGGCGCCGATCCCAACGCCCGGACGCGTCTGGGCGCCGCGCCCCTCCACATCGCCGCGGCCACCTGCAACCTAGACCTGCTCAGGCTCCTGCTGGCCTCTTCGGGCGTCGACGCCGGAGCAAGGGACCAGAAGGGGCGGACGAGCGAGGATGTGCTGTGCCTTGAAGGTGGGGACGAGGAGACTGAGACAGAGATGCGCGAGGCGTTGAGAAAAGTGGAGACAATTCAGGTGAGCGAATTTGCGCTTTCCTACAGGCGGCGTTACAAGGCGCAGATGTCGCTGTGTTTGGGTGGACTTGCATCAGGCTCGAGACTAGGCGCTTCCGCCGTTGGATCGCATGAGTTTCAGGAACTCTTGCGACTTTGGTAATGTGCAGGGCGATGCAATGCTATCAATGTATTGGTGGCTACACGTGGAGCGGAAGCCCTCTAAACTCGAGAAGCACCTGGGGTCTCTTGCGGTAAAACGTCAGCGTTTCCAGACATCGCTGGAAGTGTCTCCCTGAAATGTGGTCAATCTACAGAAAACCACCTGGATATTGTATTTCTGACTGAATCTGGCCCAAATTCCGAAGAAAATCTGAACACCATCCACATCCAAAACTCAAGAAGTCACATATGTCTGTGCACGTGCAAACAAAGGCTAAAACAGTCTTCTCATGCTTTAGGCGGCGTCTTCGACCCTGCCGACGCCGGCACCAACATTTGCAGCGGCACTCCAGGAGACCATTCCAGCGCCAGAGCCAACAGTGGCGCCAGCACCAGCACCGGCACCAGTGCCGGAATCATCATCTCCCACCACTGTGCCCCGATCCTCTCCTCTCGTCGTCCCTCTAGTCGACGACCTCACCACTGCTGACGAGCCCGCCGCCAATCCCCCCGCGCCCCCTCTGTCCGCCGTCGACTCCCCCACTTCCGTCGCCCTCCAGAAGAGGCGCGACGAACCCACGTCCACCCAGGCCGACGACTCGACGAACGGCCGCGACGAACCCAAGGAGTCGGACACCACCAGCAGCGTGGGCGCCGCCGTGGCGATCTCAGTAGTCACCGTGGGGGCCCTGGCCATGTTAGTCGAGCAGGGTCGTCGCTGCCGCGCCAACTCCAAGCCCGGTACAACAATCCCCGCAGCTCTAAACGAGGTTCGTCGATTCAGAGGTGGAGGAATGGGAGGACAGCCGCCTCTGCCCAGGAAGAGCTCGACCGCGTCCAGTCGAAGCATAACGGTGGTGGTCAGAGAGCTGTCCACGGATTCGGACATGGACTCCGTGCAGTCCAGGCAGGCGGAGCCGGCGTGGTGCCCTCCCGTGGAGTACGGGTCAGGCGGCGTGGCCGCGCTTTCGCAGGCGGTCGCGTCGCCGAACTCGTCGCACCACGGCTCATCGGTTTGCAGCTCCCCACGGTCGTACAGCAGCGACTTCCGGAGGCACGTGCAGACTGCTCAAGTGGGTATTGCGAGCGAGGTCATTTTTACATTCCTGACGAATCTATGTGAGTCGTGTTAAGTAGCGGTTATTGAGTTAAAATCACATAATTGTCGGGTGGTCAAAATTCATTTGATTTAATGGTTTGATACCATTCACACTGGTGAAACTTGTTGTTTTCGTGAATCTTCTCGCCAAACTTAAAATGGGTTTGACATGCTAAGAATCGTGTGTCAAAAAGCGTAAATATTATTCTTACGTAAATACCCGTAAGCACTCAGTACTTGAGCCATCAAGATCAAGCCTGGTTGGGACGGTGCTTTGCTCACAGGTCTTCCCAAGCACCCTGGAAGAGCCGTCCTACCCCGCCCCCCAGGAAATGCGGCGAGGCCTGGCCTCCAGCAGCTCAGGTTCATCCCATTCATCAACCCATGCCTCCTCCTCACGTGGCTCGCCGGTCCCTCAAGCAAACTCCTGGGGCGGTTGCCCCTCAGGGTGGACGCCCGAGACGAGCTGGATCAGCATGGATCTAGGGCGGACGTCGATCGGCATGGATGCCGTGCCCACGTCGACGTCGATCTGCATGAATTCCGGGAGCCCACGTTTCTCGAGCGGCACCAAGAGCCCTCGCTCAAAGAGTTGGCAGGGGGCGAGTGGGGGGAGCGGAGGGGGGAGAAGGAGGGGGTTCGAGCTGGAAGGGGGGTGGGACGTAATGGGGGCCTCGTGTGGCAGCAGCAGGTTTCATTCGGAGGGCCACGGCACTTGAAGGTGACTGATGCAGTGGCGACGGCCGTTCATGAACAGATGGTGATGTTCGGATAAGATAACTGGCTGTGATGAGTCGCCTCTACTGGAGGGCATGGGTGGAGAGCTGACACACGTTCGGTGCTCTCTTCAATTCCGAATACTACATTCTTGAGAGTCCGTGTACCACCTCGGGGACGACTAGGACGGTTTGGTCGAGCCTGGTAAAGAGAAGAGACACGGGAGAACTTCACAAGAAACTGCAATGTATTGAGGCGTCGATTGCGCTATCTCGCAAGAACATCCAAGGTTGATTGATGCGCCCTGTGGTGTTGGTGTTTCGTTGGATCAAATTACACGGAGGTTCAACACTAGATTGCGTAGCGTCATCATGGTGTCTCCTCCTATGGCTTTTTGAATTCCATGCGCACGTCCGATCTTTAACATGGTAAGTTTAATGAGGGCCCGTGTGCTGCATCTCTGACAAGAGAAGAATATGGAAAGCTGATCACAGAGAGAGGAGAAATTACTGCCGTTCCATTAAAATGTACTCCAGAGACACATGAATGTCTGTGTCGAGGGTGATTCATGATTGGCGAAGGACAAGACGGGATTGAAAGCACACTTTCAACAGACGCACAACACCGCCAGAGTACCAGAGTTCTGCTGCATGAAAAGATGCTTTTGGTGAGCGCGAACCGCGCATGGCATGGCCAAACGGAACCAAACCAAGTGCAGCACTTTCGCATGTCACGTCAAACGCAAAGGAAAGGATTGCCCATCCTGCAAGTATCTGGACCCAGACCCAAACAGGTGCTGCAGTATGGAAGGCTGAGCAAAAAATGACAGCAGGAAGGAAAGGGATCGAACAGGAAGGGAGCGAGCAAATGAACACAACATGGCGGTATTGGATGCCCGTATGCGTGACCCCAAAGCAGAACCATGGGCAAGTTGGACGGTTGGGACCCACAAGCTCAGTGGACTTCGGAGCCCGCCACCATCGCTTCATTAACACAAATACTGCCTACAATGAAACACAAGTACTAGCGCGCTAGCCCAGCGTTTTATTTCCGCAATTTTTTTTTACTGTTATGATATTCCACAATGCCACCCACAGTAACTACACGTGCTAGCACTCCTGCTCACTATCCTGCCTTGCTTGGTATCAACGCAACAGCACCCAACAAGCTCAACGGGTGCCATCGGCCTGGCCCAGTACTTTAAGGTGCCCATGAACATGCTGCGACCACAACCGACTAGGCCAGTACATTACGCAGTTATAAACATGGTCTCAGCACACAGACGAAAAGGCAAACCATGGGCCGCTTGGACGGCTGGGACCTTCCTGCCCTGCTGGTGGAGTTTTTGGAGGCTTTCGTCCACCAGGCGCTGCACGCCCGCCGCCTGTACGACGACCGGGCCTTCGAGAGGCGACGGCTGTACGGAGCATTTGTGCACAAGTCCCGGCATCCGGGTCTGAACGACTACGTAAGGGACGCGGTGGCGAGCCTGAAGGTTGGCGGTGGGCAAAGAGTGCATCGAGCGAACGCAGTTGCACCGATTGGGGGATGGTTGGCTGCTGTGTGGAGAAACATGCCGCACCAGGTTCCACGAAATGGCCAATTGTCCTCTCCTGCACACTGGCAATCTTGGGGACGTCTGGGAACCTTGTCGTTTGGGATAGTTTCTGTTTATGAGGACGGCTTCCTCAAATCTCCTGATGGGCGCAAGGGTGGCGCTGTGTTGTAACTGCGCACAAATGCAACAACCAAGATCTGTTGCTGCCATCCTGGGGTAGCGATCGTGCATTACGTACAAAATGGAGGGTGCATTGGAAGCCTCCTGGAACAGCAAGAGAATCCGGCAGCAGCAGACGTAGCAAAGGCACGGTTTGGGGTCACAGTGCCCACATCAACAACAAGACTGCTGGAGCACGTGCTGCGCAGCCACAATGGGCACAATTCAAAATTGTTTTAAAACGAGGCACTGTCCCTTTTCGCACACGTTCGCATTAGGACAACTTTAGGGCAAACTAACTGTTGTGCAGTGCTTAATCAAAACATGTGTAGCAAGGTGTAGCAAGTTGACGTGGCAGCTTGTTCAACGTGGACTGACGCAGTGTCATGAACTGAGATAAAGTGCTTGGACTTTCGAGGCTGCCGATCTGGCAGGGTGTGTCCAGTCCCAGCCAGATCGACATATGTTGAATGCAGACACCCAACAGATGTACCTGAACACCACAGACAATTTTTGTGTGTTGACCTGCAGCCAATGCTTCGATCACAGTGGTCAAAAGGCCAAAAATGATGTCCTTGCATCATTGTGATGATGACGAGAATCTGCTCTATTGAATTTTGGACAGAAGCTAGCCACCAGCTGGCATCTCAGTGGGCAGCAGAAAACAGTGCTGTGGCGATGCCAAATGTGATACCGTTTAAGTGCAGTCGTCTATGATGCCACATGGCCATCACGCCCACCGTGCTGGCATCAGTTACTGCTGAATTGGGATCACATTTGGCATGTCCAGAGTGCTAGTTTTGCTGATGAATGTGCAGCTGTGCTTTTCTGGGTTATGGACAGTGAAGAAATATATGCGCTGACGACCATTGTGAACAGATTCACATGCCCATCATTGCCTTCATTGGCAATGCCTTGGCACTTGTAACCAATGAGAACAGAAGATTGACAGTGCTGTTTGTGTCCATATATTTGTGGACAGGGTGCCATTGCCAAGGAGGCACTGCTGCAGCTGAGTGTCGTGTTCTTTGCTAGAGATGGAGAGGCTGTTGAGAAGGTGACAGTCAATCTCAAGGTGGGTGCCGAGTTGCTGTTGTTCGTTGTGTGATGTACTGACGATATACCATTTTACAATCAGCCAATGCAAACATGAACTCATGCCTCCATGTCACTGCCCAACAACGGAAACAAGTACTGTGTGATGAAGTGTTGCAAGCCACATGTTTCAATGGATCCAGGCGACATTGATAAAGTAGACTTGTTGTGGAACATGCAGCAGACCACTTGGCAATCAGAACATTTTATATTCTGGCGGACACAGCCCCTGAAATGCACGGCAGAACTCCGTTGCCAAATCAAGCGAGGGTGTTCAAGTGCGTGGGAGAAAAACACGAGCGTCCTGATATCCCATAGCTTGTGCACGACTCAAATTCACAATCGGTGACGTCCCAGGATTAACCATTCAAAAAACTAGCAATTTCTTACGTTCTTCTGGCAATATGCTCCTTTGAAATGCTTAGCTGCTGCCATCTCTCTCTTATGCGAATTGCACGACATAGCCTTCCCCCAGACTTCCATTTGGGCTGACAACGAACTGCACAATGCTTGGCAGAGGGTGCGGTTGGGGACATTGGATGCAAACTCCCTGAAGGACTTGGAGTCCGGATTCAGAAACGCGCTGTTGAAATTGAGCTTCGTGGATGCCTTGATCGAACCTTTGCCACCAGGTGAGAGAAATGCAGTGCACAGCAAAAACTTGACGAAACTGTGGGAAAATTTTACGACTAACAAACGAGTTCAATTTCAAATTTTGGCTTCGGGGTGGAGATTATGATGGTGGCGTGAACAACGTTGTGTGCCAAGGTGCTGAATTGCCCTGAAGAAATGCATTCATGTGGATTGCCTCCAGCTGCGAGGGTTATCACTTCTCCCTTGGCAGATTCGTCGCTCTTGGCTAAGCAGGTGACGGCTGTGTACATTGGGAGTAGTGAGGTTGGCCTGTGCCTCAAATGAGAGACTTTGTTTCTGGGACATTGTCTGTCGGGAGGCCGCACAGCTCGTTCCTGAGGTGGGACTTCAGCTGCCGTCCTCCTTTTTGGTTATCTCGCGATTTTGATCAGAATCTGATCAAGTCCAACTGAAATTACATTCTCGAATGGCTCACTCAAACTCAAAGTGAGCGTGGAGGTACGCCAATTATCGCCGTGAGAGCACAAGCGCGTTTCCCACCACCTTGAAACGGATTGCGTCTCTCTCTGGAGGGGAGGCCCTCATTGCGTGCCATGCTTTTCTTTGTAGAAGGGCCAAGAATTTGAAATGGTTGCATAGCGCCATGGGAATGACTGTGTGCCGCCTTTAGCGAGGATTGCCCGATACGCAACATTTCCAGACACGAAGGTCATGAAGGGTATAGTACCTTGTACCTGGTTGGGAACCTATGTATTGGGTGTTGAGCTTCTCACGGTTTAACATCCATGAAAACCTCCTAAGACCCTTAAAACAAACCTGAAACGAACTTCATGACTTCATGTATGGAAAGGAAGCATATCGGACACTTGTGCCTTTTGCATGCCGCTGCACGTAATTTTGGAGATACTGTGCTCACCAGACACACTGTGCAATTGAATTTTCCCGATTGCCATGCTATCCTGGTGATACAACATTGAGCAACATGAAGAACTAACGTAACCGCTATCACCGCTGCCGTTTATGATGTGCTCCTCTCACAGCATGAAAATGCATTTTCCTGTGCATGTTTTTGTCCGTCTGTTCGCTGTGCCTTCTTCGTGTCCCCTATTATTTTATATGAGGATACTAATTCGAGGTTATCGCCAGTACTTTCGGGTCAGACAACCTGGCTCGAGACACCTGTGAGACAATGTGATAGTGTGGTAGTGTGCAGCTAGTGTGTTTGGAGATCTCCAGGATGGGATATTGCGTAATAATCTTCACTCGTTGCAGGCTGCACTTTCGAGATCGTGGCCAGTACATCCGCCCGGGACGACCTGCCTCGAGAGACGTGGGCCAACGAGGTGGCGGCCGACGTGAGCGTGGCGCAGCCCGCGACCTGCACCCCTCTCAAGACTTTGGACCTCAAAAATTGCTTAACCTTACACTTGTCGGTGATGGAATGCGCCCTGGGGAAGCGAGGGAAGCGTGGGTCGCTTGGGTCGCTGAGCAGGGACTTTGATCTGATGGACGACCAACGCGGAGTGGAGAGTGATCATTGCTAGCTTCGGATGGCGATAGGTGGTTAGAGGAGTGTGAGGATGGTTCCAGCCTCCCCAGCAGTTGCAAGAACCAGCGCCCCTCGGAACGCGAATAAGAAATGTGGGAGCTGAGGCTGGTCGTGGGAGGCACACTGCAGAATGCTGCGCTGACATGGCATAAGTGTAACAACAGCAACACTACTGACAATAGGAACAGCAATATTAATGGCTCCAGTGATCATGACTACGACAATAGTGATAACGGTGATGCTGCTACTAACATTAGCCAAAATTAGCAACAATAACAGAAACATTACTCTGCTGCCTTTGTTATTTTGTTGTTGCAAAACAACAATAATTCAGAGGGAATATTGCCAAATGCGCGTCAACGTTGGCCGAGTCTGCGGTCATGGGATTGGCGCCGTTGATGAAGAGATAAAAAATAGCAAATGGGATGTCCCGTCTAGGTTACAAATGAACACAAGCGACCTCGACTTGTTCTTTCATGCATTTGCCAGGCAACTCATCTAATGTGAAGAGTCAACGCCTGGCGGCCCAACGGGGTCCCGCGACAAACCCTGGAAGGGCGTGTTGTTCCAATTGGAAACGATCACTCCAACCTGGACTCCGACTGTTCCTACCAGCCACCACGCCAAGGCAAACATAATTGGCGGAGCCCTTGCGTGACGACATCAACAGCCGCTCGTAGAAGGGCTCTACTACTCGTACTCCCCCACTTCAATTCGCCTCCATTCTCTCAAACATAGCACACGCACGCCCGAGGTACTCCTCGTCGGGCCGGCGCTCTCAACGTTTTCTGTGGATCTGTCAACCAACAGTAGCGCTGCTGTTCATGCAATGCTACGGCCGTTACGAAAGCTTTCTTTACGGTCACCAGGTGATGCACATCACAGGGCCGATGCCACGCCAGCCCCTTCGAAAATGCCCTTCAGTTCACCACGTTTGAACAAGCCCATGGTGTCTGCACCAAAGCAAAGCAAGCTTCAAGTGAGCTTCATGCAGAGAGAGGGCACCGTCGATCCAAAGGCAAAGTCTTGAAACTTAAAGAACGGTACAAGAGAGCGTGAAATATATTCCAAGGCTCAGCCCGCCTTGGGTTCGCTCGCAATAAAGCGGTTTTGAATTTCCTGGCAGCTGCCTTGCCACCCTAGGTCCAGAAGGACTGTCCGCTTTGCAATCCTTGTGGTTTCTGCAGAAACTTTGCACCATATGGAAACAATGACGCATGCCCACCAGCAGCTCACAAATTGACAGAAGAAGCCAAAGGAACAAGCAATGTTGACTCCTGGAGACAGGACGCAACTTTGCCGATCTCGCACTTCAACAAGTCGGTGGCACTGGAAAGTTCTGTCCATCCCACAGCGCTCTGGTCAGTGTCCATGCCGTACAAAGTGTTAGAAACCCCGCATTAGTGGTGCAACTCGCATGACAAGGAACCGTATCGATGTGGCACCATCTGTCGAATCATACGATTTGCTGGGTTGATGGCGGAGGTGGCGGTGCGGGATTGGACCTGCGTGACTCACCATCGGCACCGCCCAGGTATTTGCCTCCCACGAAGACTTGGGGCACGGTCCTTGACTTCGTCATGCCGAACAGGGCGTCCATGATGTCCTCGCCCTCAACTGCGGCACATCAAAAAGGCCATGGTTCACAACCTGCTGGTCTTTGCATGTTGGACTTGGCACATCTGATATGCAAACCTCCCTGCCCAGTGACTTAATGATTTCTTCAAAACATAATTTGTTCGAACGCACTTTGTGCAAAGTGAGTACAGAGCCCAGCGCTCATATTTCAACCGCAAAGCCACTATGCTGAGCGCGCGACTACTGGCTGGCTGGGATGTTCAATTACTGCCTGCCTACCTGGCTGACAAGGTGATTAGCGTGTGTAGAGGTAAACCTAGTCCAAGAAACAATAAATTCACGTAACCTTCATCCTGAAATGAAGGGTAGCAGAGATCTTGCTCCATACGGCTGGACTAGGGTGAACCTCGATTTGGACGAATACGAACCTCCGTAGGGCAGGACTAGTATGGACGTCAATTTGGACTAGGGCGAACCTTAATTTGGATTAGGTCGAAGATACTTTACCCTGAATAGCAGCCAATCTATTGAATACAGCAGCTTCAACGTGCACACCCACACGTAGTCAGCAACAGCCATCAAGCAACGGATTTATGTAGCTCAATGCGCCACAATACAAGTAGGAGAAATTGGACAGGAAGAGGAGGTAATTGCTCTTCGTCAGACTGTTCATGCTCGCAGCAGTGTTTGCTTAGGTCTACCCATTGAGATCCAGTTGCCAGGACCATCATTTTGCCTGCCGCATGCAAAAATTTGAAAGCATGTGTCTGTCCACATGTGCCTATGTCCACATGCAGAGAGTGTAATACAGTGGCGCAAGTGCCCAAATGGCTGTCGTGGCACGTGCTACTCAGCTACATTCTCCCCTACCTATTTGATCCAGTGCCACCTCTGTGAACTCCACTTCCAGTTTGTTAAACAGAGCTTTCACCTAGACATAGAAAATATCCATCAAATCAAGGCCAACATAATATCATAGCATTGCAACATCGGTATGATGCTTTCGTATTCATGCTTTCCAGGCACATAACTAAGCAACAAGCTATACTTACAGCACAATATCAACCTGAAGGTGCCAAACTTCAACGGAAAGTTTTGAGATAGCATTTTACTGATATGAAAGCTTGGAATGCAGGAATAACAGATGCCAAAGATGTGTGCATTGGACCCATTGGACAGTTGTTGTACTATTCGCACCATTTGAGGATCAAAGATACACTGGTTCAACAATAGAGCTCTGCTATCCAATGGGCACTGCAGGGATGCAGTGTTCTCTGCCTGTCTGATTAGCATGTGCGCTCACCCCCCCAATCGCAACCCCCCAATCGCACCCCCCCAACCTCTTCCCCCTTTCCCTCAAACACGCTTCCCCTTCAGGAAAAGAAAGAGAAAGATGTCCCCTCCACTCTCATCAATTGTTTGTATGGTTGTGTGAATGCATCAGTTGACAAAGCAGAAGGCAAATAATAGAAAGAGGAAGCCCCTTGTGAGCAAGAACTTTGTGAGACTCTTTGCACACAGCATGAAAATGTGCTGCACATGTTGTGTCAGGATGGACTGCAGCAGGACGTGCTCCCTCTTTCAAAGACCCGCTGTCGTGGATGGCACAGTGTGACAAAGTTGATAAGTGGCCTGGATATTGGATTTCCGTGTGCCAGGAAGAGAAACTGATAACACCAAAAAGGCGGACACATAGCTGTGCCCTTAGATGTGTTTTGGCACCCTGCAGCCCCACCACTGCAAGGTTCATTGAACCCTGCTGATGAAACCACGCCCATCACCCGAACTGCAGGTGCAACCACAACTGATTGCTATGTTTAGGCTGATACAATCACACAGCTGGAGTCCCAAACTCTTCAGCTCTTAAGTTGCACATTCGGCATCATGCAGTCCAGCAGGCACTAAAGGACCCAGATCTTGTCTGTTGGATTTGCCATCCAAGCCCTTGAATGTGTAGTAAAGTGTGTGCAAAAGAGTGGACAGAACGCACCTCTCCACAGTAGGGGCACCACGATCGG